CTGCACTTCGCCCGTCTACAGTCCAGATACAAAAAAATAGTTGACGGTAATCTCCTGAGTGCTTTAAAATTGATGGACATCTCCCAATGTTTTGTCTATGTTGCAACAAGGGAGATAAGAACTCTGCAGATTGAACATCCTGAGTGGAAACTCAAATCCGACTGGAGTAAAAAAGTGATCAATAAAGCCTGCACTGTTAAAAAATTACTCTCCAAATTTTCAGCAAAGAATATCCAATTTTAACAAACGACTAACAGAGATGGCATTTCCATACGACTGCTATTGGCAAATCATTTAGTTTTTTTTTCTCGATTGGGGGCCTCGATTGGGGGAAACACCAGACATTATCTGAGAATTTCACTTAAAAAATTCCAATATTTTTCTCTCCGTCGGAAATTAACCAAAAATCAATGACTCACTTGTCTATTGACTATAATTCAACGGGTACCTAAAGCGCGGTTTAACATTTAACGGGTGTGACGCAACGCCCACAGCGCGGGTAAGGACCAGTTGAATTTCACGAAATTCTGATAGTGTCATGAACAACTTTAGTTTTCGCTTTTTGGTGAGCTCACAACTTGAGTTTGATGTGGGTAATCCAGGAAGTTTTCCCGGTTCTAGAGGCCAACCCCCCTAAAAAAGCAGGAATGAAAATTTTATTCTAGTAAATTCAGTCTTCTACGAAGTTTTCATGAAAATCTGACGTTTTATTGCGACAATTTGCAACCATGAGTATGCATTTCGGTAGTGCCAGGAACTTTCTGCCTTTGAATTCCTTACGACAAAAAAAAAATCTTTTGTTGAACAGGTTTTTTTGACCGTTGGAATTAGGTAAAAAATCAGATGATAACAGGCTGGCCTAAGGGGTCTTCAGTAGTAATTTTATATAAGTAGAAATGAAGTTGAAGAATTCTTTGCGATGGCCCAACATTTCGTCTTCCAGGGAAGACCTCATCAGGGGCTTCTTTATTATCAATTTAACGTGAAAATAAAAACGAATTAATCAATTAATAACATGAAGACTGTTAAAGAATTATCAATTTAACATCGGAATAATAAAGAAGCCCCTGATGAGGTCTTCCCTGGAAGACGTAACGTTTGACTATCGCAAAGAATTCTTCAACTTCATTTGAGAAGTAAAATGGTAAACGAAGATAAGTCGACTTATCTCCCAGTTGAGTTTTTGAGGAATATTTCCAAATATAAGGGAGATAGCGAAATTTTCGTAATTACATTTGTTGTAGCACTCAATCAGCTCCACAAAAAAGGTTATAACAAACATTTCGCTATCTCCCTTAGATTCTGAGATACTGATTGAAAACTGGTCAAGAGTCAAAATTGACTTATCTCCTGTTGCCAATTCGCTACTGAATTCTACTCATATAAAATTGCTGAAGACTGTTTCCATCTGATTTTTGGAGAAATAATCTTGTTGGTGTATAGTCTAATAGGATGATTGACCCTGAGTAGGTGCTGAAACCGGGGAGTAAGTTGCTGAATTCACGGAGCCTGGAGTGGCTTGGGTTCGTATCCAACTTCTAGCGAAATTATGACTGATCTATTCTATCAGAGGCAATCGCCGTCATTTCAAAAAGCACCGATCAATTTTTTCTCCCGTTGCTAATAGCTTCCTAGATACCCACCGGACCAAATGAATGCCGAATTGTTTTTACACGAAAGGAAAAAGTCAATAATTTCAAGTCAGAAGTTCGTTTATGCTTTGAACAAGTCGGTTGAAAAAATCTGAATGAAGAAAATATCCAAATTATGGATTATCTGAGAGGTTCTCACATCTCATGATTCAAGAATAAACATCATGTGTACTTTCTGCAACTGCCATCCAGAAAAATTATGACCATGAAAGAGGACTACCTAGAAATGCTGAGAAATTTAATATCAGCACTAAGTGAAAATTCTTTATAATCGAATCTCACATGATTTGCGTTGGATAATTAAGTCATCACGAGTTCATCAATATTTCGTCGAAAGAATTCTCATAATTTTGGACATATGAATAAAGTTGTATGTCCGTAAAATCATTCTGCGTTTTTCAATTATTTCTGGATTATTCAATTTGATTAAATAACGTGACCGCAGAAATACGAAAACTCACAGTTCAACTTTTAGTTACATTACAGTAAAACACGCCACGGTTCACGTGTTACGAAAATCCCGCCACTGAAGTAGATCACCGAAACTGTGCACGCCATCGTAACCTGCAGAAGTAATAGTTTGTGCACACTAACAATAAGAAAAAAATCGGGATTTGGAGCTGAAAATCCTAGGAGTTGGTGCGCCGATAACGGCTGCGAACAGAAATACATAAAATTGAAAAAATCAACGTATTGGTTCACCTTTTTCAACATAGAAATCCAATAGTTATGAGTAGAATATATAAGAGACCAAATTGAAAGTTCCTGAGTGAAATGGAGTCCCTTCGATTGACCGGTACAATTTTTCACATCGATTACTTCGGAATAGGTCATTCATTTGTCCACGAAAATTGCAAGAAAATGAGCTGAATGAAACTCACAGGAAGTGATTTCCTGATGACAAAATTTTCACATTTCCAGTCGGACTGATTAACTTGTCCAGTTTTGTAATTATTCACTTGAAAGTATGTCTTTGTCCCTGTGGAAATTACAGTTTGTCTGCCAAGTTTTTCGAGTTCACAAAGTGTTTATTCATTCATTCCTTTATTAAAGCAGTGAGCACAATGCTCTCCTCGAGGGGAGGAAGCATCGAAAAGAATATGCAGAATTGTAAGGCTGCTGTTCGCATCATGATGAGAACACTATTAATTTAATATCAAAAAGGAGTTGAGCCAATAATGATAAGTATCGGCAATGAAAATCCTCATGTAGTTATAAGGACTTGTAGCAACAAACAATTTGATTTTAATTTCTTCTGTGAACTAACTTTCTCCCATCCCTCAATCAAATTATTTCGAGCGTCAGATGAATATCTCACACATTTTCATTATACAGGAAACTCGTAATCTAATTCTTCAAAAGCTCGTGAAATGCACAATTTTCACCGATTGAACGCTGGGGGGAATTGGCATCTTGATGAGGGCAAAATCGCGACTTCTCGAGTTTCTCTCACGTCTTAATTTAATTCGCCATTCAGCCAGATATCTCCTCCTCTAATAGCCTTCCCTCCATTAATTACCGAATGAAAGCAGCCACTCACAAATCTAATTTCCTTTTCAAAACCATATTTATCGGCTTGGGAATTTCTTCAAGTTTCTCCTATAAAGAATAACTAGCGCGATTACTCTATACTTTTTTTATTTAATTTTTTTTATTTCCATTTTCCTCTTCATAATTAGATTAATTTAATTTAAGCATTGTTACTCGTATTATATTTTTTTCCTTTAATTCACAAGTTACAGTATTGAATAAAGAAGAATTATGTTGAAGATCAATAAAACGTGTTTTTTTGTGAGGAAAATAAATACACAACACCAAAGTCATTCGAAATCTCATTCAGGTAATAGAAAACTCTCTCCGCGTATTCTTGAAAATTTTTTAAATCTATTTTTCCCCTCATGGTAAAAGGATATTGGTACTCCTCATTCCTATGGTGGGATTCCAATTATTATTATGAAAAGAAAATGAAAAAAGAATCAGAAAGGGCAAATCGGCCAGGAATTGGATTTTTTTCTTCTTTTATGTCGGCGGAAACTTCGAATCAGTTTTTTCTCCAAGTACTAGAGGGATATCAACATTTCAGCGACAAGAAATTCAAAAAATGCAAAGAAACGTGGGCGAGAAGAACTAAAAAAATTATTTTTCAATGACTCCGGAAAGTTTTAAAATCGATTTTTTTTCCAATAATGAAAGAATACTCATAAATTCGATTTCTACCCGTGCCCTTTGATAGAATTACTTATTTTGGAACTTTATGATCTAATTTTAACGAGAGGAAATGAAAAAAAATGTAAAAAAACGTAGGCGAGAAAAACTAAAAAAATTAATTTTTCAATGTTTCCGGAAAGTTTTAAAATCGATATAATTTTTCCAATAATGGAAGAATACCCATAAATTCGATTTCTATCCTTGTCTTTTGATAGAATAAATGGAATTAATGACAGAAATTGAGAATTGGAGAATAAAAAATTTGATCGGATTATCATAACAAAAAATAATTTTTTTGAGAGTGATCACAAGAAAATAGATTCCTAAAAATTATAGATGGGACCTAAAACCTTTCACTTTCGCGATTAGTATAGTAAAAGTAGTAAATAGTACAGCAAGATTTGCCGAGTTTTTCTAGATAATATTTCCCCAACTTTTTTCTCCCGGCGTTCCTAAGCAAAACAAGTAATTGACATTTACATTTGTTCCCAGACTGAAACCTCTCGTCATTGTTAAAGTAGCTCTACCCTTACAGTAAATTCAAAGATTATTGAAAATTGCAAAAAATTGCAGAAAACTCGATTAGATTCGGAATTCTAATTTTTTTCTCAATTTAATTATCGTTTTGGTTTTTCAAAGAAGAAATATTTAAAAATCAGGATTTAACCCAGTGTCTTATGTGAAAATCAACATTTCCATTGTAATCAAAGATTAAAATCTGATTTTTTTTCATTAGATGTGAAGAAATCAAGAATTTTTTTGAAACCTCATAAAAAAAATCCCCCATTTTACAAACAAGTTTTATTATTTAATTATACGAGGGAAACTTTTGAAAAAATATCAATATTTTCCGAAATTTAATAAACAGACAATACTGACTCGGTATGAATTTTTTCAAATTTTTTCCATGCAATTTAGTTGAAAAATTTAAAAACTGAAAATATCCAAAACTACAGCGTAGCTCCGCCGAAGGGTAGAGCTACTTTAATCTACCTCTCAAAATGATCCGCTCACAATGATGCACCAGACCATTGTTATTCACATTCTTTTCTCCTCTCCATCAGCGACGAAAAAAAAACTATTACAAGGAGGAATGTAATGAGGGAGGGAAAGAAAGAAGGGAGTTTCATTTCATCTTACTTGAGCATGTTCCCTCGTCCAATTCCTCCGGTGGGCGAAGATTCTTAATGACACACTGGAGGCCGACCGCGCAACTACCAGAAAATCCAAACAATCCGCCGCAGGGCTCACCCTCGACACGCGCACAAACTTTGCAGCATCTAATAATGACAAAGAAGCACAAGATAATTTAAGAGAGAATAAAATTTTATTGCCACTGATCTTTGCACATCTGCCGAACGCCTCTCCCCCTCCTCCTCTTGCCACTCCTCTCTTCTCCCTTGTAATGATACCGTGAAGTAATAATAATAATGGAACATGGTTGGATATGAGAGATAAAAAAGCAATAGAGGGAACATTTTGCTCAATTTTTATCTCTTACGTTACTATTTTTTTTTCTCAAAGCAAGTCGGGGATTTTCCACGTTGCTAGGTATAAAACTTTTTCATGAGAGAATCGGAATACAGAGAGACGAGAGGGACAAAAAGTAGAGTGAGGGGGCGAGGATATAGACCCTTGAAAAATAATATCACGAGAATTTTCAGACAAATGTATACGATCCACTTGACTGGCTCGGAACAACAATATCGATGAGAATGAAATAAATGTTGTTTCATTTTATTTCACTCCTATTCTTTCGCTCTGTCACTTCTATTCTTTTTCACTTGATTTTGTTGTCGAGATGGTGGCGAAGAATCTTCAGAGTAACTGTTGTCAAAAGAAAATGGAAAGAGGAAGAATCAACGAATGCACTTTGTTCCATTTATCTTCCATTAATATCAAGGAGATTCTTGAAAGAAAGAGCTTGAAGGTGGGGAAAAATTGTGAGAGAAAAAGTTGAAAGTTGAAAATTAAAATTATAACGGGAATTGTTCCGTATAAAATATGGTGGCAAAATCAGAAAGTTTTAGGGGGAAAAAATCAAGTAGATTAAATTGGTATGAACATATTTTATAACTTAAGGATATCCGAGGATTTTGGCTATTTTTTCTCCAGTAAATGATTTTCTACTTTTGTCAGTTCTCGGACATTCTACTATTATTTGATTATTTAAACTCTGCAGGTCTGAATTAGAATCTCGATATTGAACCGTTATAAAACATTTTTTAAATCTAAAAAAACTTGAAAGTACTTTTGGAGGAAGATTGGTGAAATAATTAAGAAATTGCAATTTTTATGCCTAAAAAAATTAGATTTTCGAAAGTTTAAACAACTTCAATTATTCATTTATAAACAACGAACGTTAAAAAAATAAAAATTCTGTGTAAAATATAATTAACAGTGTCTATTCACGAAATCAGAAAGTTTTAGGGGGAAAAAATCAAGTAGATTAAATTAGTATGAACATATTTTATAACTTAAGGATATCCGAGGATTTTGGCAATTTTTTCTCCAGTAAATGATTCTCTACTTTTGTCAGTTCTCGGACATTTTACTATTATTTTATTATTTAAACTTTGCAGGTCTGAATTAGAATCTCGATATTGAACCGTTATAAAACATTTTTTAAATCTATAAAAATTTGAAAGTACTTTTGGAGGAAGATTGGTGAAATAATTAAGAAATTGCAATTTTTATGCCTAAAAAAATTCGATTTTCCAAAGTTTAAACAACTTCAATTATTCATTTATAAACAAGCGCTCCACGGTAACTTTGACCGTGGATATGCAGGACGTTTTCCCGCGGATTCAAGGTAATTTCTACCGTGGATATATGGGAGATCGTGGACCCTCAACTTTTACTTCTCAAATTAAATCTAGACAATAAACTAGACACATCGAATCAATTGATAAGTGATATGGAGATAGTAGACTAGTAAACAATTTTCCCGAATAGGGGAGAGTGGGGTAAAATGGATACTTTAGACTTTTGTTTTAATTACTCATTACTCAGAAACAAATTTATCAATTCAGCTCAGTTTAGGCTCATCCCAAAGGGAAAGAATTGTTCTTTGCAATGACAAAAAAATTATAACATTTTATCAACATTTAAACCCGTCATTAAAATTTTTTAAAAAGTCAAAAGTGTCCATGTTACCCCAACCTCCCCAACGAATATCCAGTCGGCGCTTATCACCGTTAGAATTCACGACAAAAAATCATCAACGACGAATACTTTTTTGGTCCTTTTGAATTCAGTAGGGGAGGGTAGGGTAAAGTGGACACTTTTGACTTTTATAAAAATATTCATAACTCAGAAACAGATTTATCAATTGAGCTCAGTCTAAGCTCATCACAAAGAGGAATCATTATATTTCAATTGAAAAATAAAATTATTCCATTTCATAAACAATTCAACACGTCATGAATATTTCAATCAAAAGAAGTCAAAAGTGTCCGTTTGACCATTGACCAGTTTTCAATCAATATCTCGGAATCTAAAGGAGATAGCAAAATTGTTGTCATAACCTTTTTTGTGGAGCCGATTGAGTGCTACAACAAATGTAATAACGAAAATTTCGCTATCTCCCTCAGATTTCGAAATATTCCTCAAAAACTCAACTGGGAGATGAGTCGACTCATCTCCGTGTCCCACTGCACTACTGAATTTATTCTTCATCGTTCTCCTCAACGTCTCCACTGGATTTTATTCCCCCAACTTACTGATTATTCATAACAAAAACCATTTTTACCTGCATGGATCCCAGGTGAGACCGCCAGGGCAATCCTCCTCGGTCAAAACATCACATTCTAACGGCGAACACACACAAGAGAGAGCCCTAGCAACTGCCAGTGACAGTACGATAATGCCACTGATTAAAATCAACGATGCCCGCATATTTGAGAACGCCGAACAAAAGAAAAACGGGTGAAAAAAGTGTGGCCCTTCAACACCACCCGGGTTTCAGTCTCACTTCACCAACGATGTTATCAGTTTCCCCAGGATCGCGTGGACGCATTTGCTTCAACGAAATCACACCCTCACGCACGTGCCCTTTTTACTTGCAAAAATATCAAAATGAGAACACCAAAAAGTCGAGTTTTTTGTTTTCGCTTTCACTTTACGGTAGACCGATGAAGAAAGCAACGCCAATTACGCATGAGTAGAGTCGAATCTATTCATTTTAACATGTTTGCGTCCAATTGCCCTAGAGAAATTCGCGAGCTTGTGACGTACGATAATCACCGAGTTTCCGTGGAGTCTGAATCGGTCGATAACCACTACGTTCACGATATGCAGATTTACCACAGGATAGATTTATCAGCAAGTTCTATCCACGTGTGTCGCTATTACACTGCGCCATACATCCACAAAATGCACAGAATTAGGTTAAACAACAGAAAAAAAATCCAAACACAAGTGATGGAAATTCAATCAACTATTCCAGATGTTTTGCGTCATTGTTTTCATTTTTTTTTCTACTAACTCGGAGGGCATTTTTGACGGTTTACGGAGCGAAAAGAATCTCGGAAAATCACTCACGATCCGGGAGCTCCGTTTGCACTAGTCGGTACGGAGGGTGAACGCGCACTGAGCGGAGCGAAGCGCGTGAGACGCCACTAGGCATTCGAAGCCGTGTGTTGAATATGTGCATTCCTCCTCGGGGCGCGTCGGCGCCCTTCGACACTTTTCAACGCAGACATTCGACGGATTCTCACCGGCAATTTTCTTCGTCACTGACTTTCAAAAGACTTATGGCTCTTATTTTTCTCGTGTTTATTTTTTCCCTCTCCACGGGTGACGTATACAGTAATGCTGATAGGGTAAACAACACTTGAAACTTATTTCTGAAAAACAAGTTTTTTGAGGGGATAAATTGAATTTCTCTCGGGGAATTACTGGAGCGTTTGTCGAAGCCTCTTTTTACTTGGTATTGAGGGGCTCTGTGCGAGCAAAAGGGTGGAAAATTTTGCGTCGGCGTGTATGTGGGAATTTTGAGAAAAAAAAACGGGTTTGTAGGAACAATGGAACGGGGATTGTTCAGGAAAAAGTGAGACGGCGTGGAGTGGTGTGGAGCGCGATTGCAGGGACCAGTAACCATTAGTTTTATGCTAAACTTTTATTTCACCTGGGTTTTCTGTGTCGGGAGGGAACGATCGACTTTATCACAACAAGTGGGGGAGCACAGCGGGGCGATTGGAATCTGAGAAAAACATCAAATCGTGAGGGTTCACTAAGAAAAAATTTAATTCCGCCAATTGAATTCATTTCTAACTAGGGGGCTTCGCCCCCTGCTCGCTCCGCTCGCCAACCCGGGGGGGGGCTTTGCCCCCCCCACTCGCTTCGCTCGTTCCCCCCCCGTCCGTGTGACCGCAGCAGTGTGACCATACCCATAACCATCTTCCATATGAACACCTCCTAATATAGTAATCCTCCATAAATATCGATATCTCCTTTATGACCACCCCCTCATATAGACATCCCTTATAAATACACGCACCTCCTCATATAGGCACCCAGCGTCCCCTGAATTTGAGCGTCCCCTGAATTTAAGCGTCCCCTGAACTTGAGTGTCCCCTGAATTTTTTTCCTTATTTTTTTATTTATATAGAGAGACAAGGATTTATACTGAAATCTGTTATGATTTTTGCTTTATGAACGACGTATACATTAATGCTGATAGGGTAAACAACACTTGAAACTTATTTCTGAAAAACAAGTTTTTTGAGGGGATAAATTGAATTTCTCTCGGGGAATTACTGGAGCGTTTGTCGAAGCCTCTTTTTACTTGGTATTGAGGGGCTCTGTGCGAGCAAAAGGGTGGAAAATTTTGCGTCGGCGTGTATGTGGGAATTTTGAGAAAAAAAAACGGGTTTGTAGGAACAATGGAACGGGGATTGTTCAGGAAAAAGTGAGACGGTGTGGAGTGGTGTGGAGCGCGATTGCAGGGACCAGTAACCATTAGTTTTATGCTAAACTTTTATTTCACCTGAGTTTTCTGTGTCGGGAGGGAACGATCGACTTTATCACAACAAGTGGGAGAGCACAGCGGGGCGATTGGAATCTGAGAAAAACATCAAATCGTGAGGGTTCACAAAGTTCAAAAATTTAATTCCGCCAATTGAAATTATTTCTAACAAGGATTTATAGGGGAAGTTGGGGTAAAACGGACACTTTTGACTTTTTTTTAAATGTTAATGAGGGGTTGAAATGTTGATGAAATTTAATAATTTTTTTCTCCAATTAGAAAAAACAATTCGTTCCCTTTGTGATGAGCCTAAACTGAGCTCAATTGATCAATTTGTTTCTGAGTTATGAATAATTTTAAGAGTCTAAAGTGTCCATTTTACCCCACCCTCCCCTACTGAAATCTGTTATGATTTTTGCTTTATGAATTCCTCCCATCTCATTTTATGTTGAGGAGTAACAGAATTTTGCTAATCATATTGTAAAAAGGTGGGTAAAATGGACAATTTTGACTTTTTTTGAAATGTTCATGACGTGTTGAATTGTTCATGAGATGGAATAATTTTATTTTTCAATAGAAAGAACAATGATTCCTCTTTGTGATGAGCTTAGACTGAGCTCAATTGATAAATCTGTTTCTGAGTTATGAATGTTTTTTAAAAAGTCAAATAGTATATTTCGTAACGAGTGCAAAAAACATTTTTTCACGAGTTACGAACAATATTTTTCATCACAATGTGGCGGAAATTGGACTTTTAGGCACGCGGAGCGTGCCGAAAAGTTCACTTTTCGTCACAGTGTGATGAAAAATATATATTTAAGGAGAGACTATATCTTTATGAGTTTTAAAAGTCGTGGGCTATTCAAGTGGGAATTCTCATGCATTGAAGATCGACTTTATACGTCTAAAAATGAATAATGAGTGCAAAAAATTAATTGTTTATGGCACGCAATTTCGAAACTCGCTCTTTCATTCGGGCCCAAAAAAACATTCACAACTTGTGGGGACCGGAGTTTTTTCCCCGAAAAAAATTTTCCGAACAAAAATTTCCCCGGAAAATGTTTCCCCCAACAAAGATTGATTAGTATTTGAGGTATTTTGTGGGGGAATTTTATTCGCGAAAATTTTTTCCGGAAACCTTCAAGTGAACCATTCGTGAACTATCAACGAATATTCACTTGGTCATATTCAACTCTACCATTTGTTAATAGTTAACGAATCTCGTTTGGAATAAATTAATCCGTCTATCAGTGTGCAGCTCTCGGTGCAGCTACATGTCATGATCTCCTCACAATATTTCAATGACATTCTTCTTCAGTGTTGACGAATAGATGAGACCCTTGTTCAGTCGGCGTCACCCATAAACCTGTGGTGGTTCTGTACATCTGATTCACCCGTGACTGAGCTCCACGCCGAGTGTACCACCAAACTTTACACATTCCCCTCTTGATTTTCCGTCTCAAATTCTCCCCCTACAAGGCACCACATTATCATGTCCAAACATCTACAAACCAAAACATTTCGCGTTATTTGCAGCACAAATACTCTCAATCTACGTGACTCCCACGACCTTGGTCGTTAGCACAACTCCAATGAATAAATCGATTGGTTGTTCAATATTACGAACCCCCGGCGAGAGAGTGAACTCGCGCTTCATCTTCCAACCGATTAAAAAATTCTTGCGACTGACCTGGTGAAGAGCCACCCGCGTGACCTCTCCCCTCCCCGCGCATCGTCTGATAGTTGAAACATGGAAGAGGTAAAATGCGCAATAAAATACCGCGGAAAGTTCACTTGGAAATACAAGACTAAGGAGAATAACCCGGACCGTAAACTCACCGCAAGTAGCAACACCGGATTTTAAGTCAGACGCTGAATACTCCGAGGCTGGAACACTAGTGGCAATAACTTCTGCTGCAAATTGAGAAGCTAAAAATTGCGCAATAATCTCATCGTTTCAGCGGAAGGAAACGCGAGTTTGTTCTCCGTCATTAGAGTCAGTTTTACGTTTTGTTTTTTCCTTTACATTTTTCGCTGTGCCAGATTGTCCAGATAAGCCGGGGGAATGTATTTCCATCAACCTCAGCACTGGGAGAGACAAAATGGATAATTTAATGGAACTGCACAAGGGAAAGAGGAAAAACAACTACAACGGGAGGGGTAAGGAACAAAACAAAGAGAAACTACGTAAATGTATCCTGACTAAACTCAATTACCCCTCGATCCCTTTAGTCTCGGCGAAATGGTTCTTGGGTTATTTCCACTCCTATCTTTGCGTGCATAGATACAATGATGGGTAAACACATTGGGTCTGGCTGGGGATGGAAAAGAGGTAGGGCTGTAGGGAGGGCTTTAAAGAAAGGAGGAAGGGAAGGGAGGAGAAAAAAAATTCAAAGACAACTCCAGCTAGGACTTCGGGTTTGTATGGGAGACACTAAAGACAGCTATACACATTCGCCTGCGGCTGGAGGACCGTCTCTCACGCCTTTTATACTCAAGAAAACAGTTTATTTCGTATTACCCTCGTCCTTCTGTACCTCGTATATAAATATAATCTTCTTGATTCTCTTTCTCATTCTGTACTGTGGTTTGTCATAACATTCGCGGAAATAAAAGCAAAATCACTAAATTTTTTTCTCGTTTTTTTAGCTTTTGCGTCATTGCCAGGGACACAAAATGGAAAAAAAAACGTTGAGGGATTACAGTGCACGGGTCGGATACTCTGAGCGGTGACATGACAACCAGATGGGAAAACGGAAATATGATTGTGTTTTACTGATGTTGGGCATGAATCATGGAGACGGCAGGTACTCAATAACACGAAAAACATGATTTGAGGATTTTTGGAGTTTTGAAGACTCAGGACTGAAATCGTATGAAATCAGTCGAAATCAAATGAAATCAGTGAAAACCTGGGATTTCATCAATTCCAGGTAATTTCAATTGAAATCACTTGGAATCGGTGAAATCTCATGAAATCATGAAATCAGCAACTCATGAGACCCTTTCGAATACATGAAAGAGAAAGAAACTTTTTTGACTTATTTGTGGTGTATTCTACTACGTATGCCCATTTACGTGTATTATTTTTCACATAGAAAAAAAAAATCGGTGAAAAAAATCTGACCTTTTGAAAATCTGAAAAAAATTTTTTTTTCAGTTTTCACTTTTTCCATATAATTTTGACAGTTCTGAATAGCCCGTCGCTTAAATAGTTGGAATCAACGTTCACCCGGCTAAAAAATTCGACTTTGGCGAAAGTCGACTTTCCCCCAGGAAAAACGGAAAATCTGACCCTTTGAAAATCTGAAAAAAAAATTTTTTTCAGTTTTCACTTTTTCCATATACTTTTGAGAGTTCTGAATATCCCGTCGCTTAAATAGTTGGAATTAACGTTCACCCGGCTAAAAAATTCGATTTTGGCGAAAGTCGACTTTCCCCTGGAAAAACGGAAAATCTGACCCTTTGAAAATCTGAAAAAAAAAATTTTTCAGTTTTCACTTTTTTCATATACTTTTCAGAGTTCTGAATAGCCCGTCGCTTAATATTTCTATTTCTTTTTCTGACTTATTTAAATTTCCATTTCGTATTGAATTTCGACCGTTAACTGCGACGACCGTCACAAAGCGAAAATATTCATCATTAGAGAAGATCACAAAACGTTCCACTTGAAATTCGACTCCCACACTGCTAACTTTGTTTTTTTAATAAAAAATTGCGTCATTCATGTAAAGTAGCACAAAAAATATTTCTAAAAGAATCGAGAATATATTTTAAATATTTTGAAGATGATTTTTTACCTGTTTCACATGAATGGCCCCAATTTTTATATTAACCAAACGAAATTAGCGGTGTAGTCGCCGAATTTCAAAAGAATAATTCGTAAATGTTATTGCACACATTTTTCAAAAATTTTGAAAGAAAAAAAACTTCTGTAGCTCAAAAATAGGAGGCCCTGGACTATTTTTAATATTTTAAGCACGTGCGGGGCAAACGAGCAATAAACAATTATTTTTTTGCTCTAATTCTTCGATTTAATATATAATTGATCTTCAGTGCAAGAGGAATCTCACTCCAATCGCCCACGACTTTTAAAAGTCATAGTAGTCTACGAATTAATTATTAAATGGAATTAATTATTACTAAATTACAATCGTTCGTGAAATTTCTATAATTCGGAACAGTTGGCAATAATTGATGAATTTAGGGGAAACATTTGCTGTCTGTAGACTTCAATACTGAATACACTGGATTGCATAGAATATTCCAGCTAGTGGGGGTCGTACGATTATTCAGAATATCGGAGGTTTATGTCATTGTATACATAATGCATAGAAACGTACTGAATATTCAGTGGTAATGAGATAGTGAATTACATTCAATAGCGAGAATGAGTGCATTTAATGAGATCGTGAATCAATATTGCAGAATGAAATTCACTCTGACACCGCAATGAGTGTTAGGATTAGTTTCTAAGTGTACCTGCATGGCAGACGAACATTACAGAAACTACACAATTTTCCGAATTAGGCCGCCGCTTTGTGTCCGATGCGATATTAGTAGTGAGCCTCGCGAGAAATCAAGATTTGCAGGTAAAAAATTTTGGCAGAATTTGTTGATATACTTGGAAATTTTTGTCTCATTGTAGATCCCCTGAAATTCCAAGGAATTTTGTAATTTTGAAAATTAAAAATTTGAAAAAATTCTGTGGAAACTGTGAATTTTAGTTCAGTTATTTCATAAAAATTGGTACACGGGGAGAAATTTTCTAGAAAAATTCTAGTACGAGTACTGGAAAAAATCACTATCCACCGGCTGTGAAAAATTCTAGTGCTGTTAAGGTAAAATTAAGGAAAATGCCGTTAGAACAATTAGCGCGATAAAAAATTCAATTTTTATAATTAAAAGTAATATTGGACGTTTCACTCCTCCTGGACTACCCCAAGGTTTTACCTCGAGATTAAAATTTTGTTTTTATCATTCATTCCGAAAAATACCGAGAATCCGTGGAATATAAATGACTGAAACAACAATGAAGCTCTTCACAGTTCGCTCACCTCTAACAAGAGAGCACGAAAAAAAATGAAAATTCCATGTAGATAGAAGAAAACTAAAAAAAAACCATTCCACTAAATCCTTTTATACGTTTTATACGATTGGGGGATTTTTCGAGGGTTGAGCGAAAACTTTTTTAGAATTCGTCAGGGATATGGAAACGGGTATTGGATCGATGGTAGAACGTCGGCCATTAATTTGAATAAAATATCGGATTCGCCAAGATATCTCCTTGAACCTTATATATGCGGATTGATCCAGAATATATCGTGAAAAAAAAAGAATAGATCGTAAAGAAAGACGAGGAGTAAAATGCTTGCCATGAGTTAAATTGGACGGGCAAAAAAGGATGGAGTAAAAAATAAATGAAAGATAAATAACGGGACAAATTGGCAATCAGTTTGATGAAAAAATGTGGAGGAAAGGAAATTTCATTCGCTCTATATTTTTAACAGTGGACGAGTTTTTCGTTGCAAATCCACTGTACCTAACTAGCGAATCAAACCAACGCAATAGGTACTCCGTTTGCATCCGAATAAGCTTCAGCGTCGCCAGCAGTTCTTCCCAACGGTAATTCAATTGAGAAACTGAATAGACCACTTCGTTTCATTCGGCTTGAAAATAATTATATGTCCGTCCAATCTACTCGTTTCTCTTCCTCCTTTTATCTCAACTCCAGTTGCCTACGAAATTAAATGCTACTTTCCCTCGTCCATTTCAATTTTTTTCCCCTTCCCTCCTTGTCTCCTCCTCCACCACCTGCAATTCAAATGAACCAATTCAATGCGTACCAATTGGGATACTTTTTTTTTCTTCTTGGCACTACAAACACAAATTCCTTAATTACTTTTTTTCTCCTCTTTCTCTGTTACTTTCAACTTTTAGTTGGAAAAAAAAATCGGAATGTTCTCGCGGGGGTAATTTAATTGGTGGAAACTTTTGCGCGACAAAAAGTTGAATTATTTCACGAGTTTTTCCTCGGGACGATTTCAAACTTCAAAATGTCAACTTCAAACTTCCAGGGAGGTGAGCAGAAAATTTATCGCATTTTTTAGGGAATATTTGCGTAGTATTTTTATACAATAGTTTAGCAAATGAGGGGGAAGCTGCCGAGTTTTACGAGGATTAGCGTTTTTCTTCACTCGGTGAACGAGGTCTTGAAGTTATGACGCTTGAAGAGGGGAAGGGGAGAGTTTCCAACGGCTGAAGCTGAATTTTGCGGTCAATTTACTTTAATTTGGTTTTTATTTTGATGGAATCTTTTTTACAGTTGGGCAGAAAAAATAAATGTAGTAGCTACATTTCCGATTTTCATAACAGTTTATACAGCTAAAAAATCTGAAAATTGACAACAAAATTTCAATTCAATTTTAATTAAAAATTGATTCAACATTTCTGAAATTCCGCATACAGGCATTTCTTATTACATAATGAACAACAGGAGAAAATTTTCTCCTTTCCCCGTGATTTTTTCGAAATAATAGAAAAAATATAGCCTAAGTGAATTTATTCCTACAACTAAATTGAACATTCTCAAGTGTCTCGAGATAAAGAACTGAGTGCACTGCTGTTAACAGTATTTTGGCATGAACGTTGGAATGTGTATGTGAGAATGTAATTTAAGAATTTTATGAGGGTCCGCGCTCCTCCTCGCTCTCGGAGAACGGCTCTTGATCCAGGGTTTGGGGTGGTACGGATTCCTCAAGGATAATATCCTCGGGTGGTACTATGCCTTGAAGATGTCTCGCCTTCTCCTCGATCTCGGGTATTTTTTCGTGAATCAGCTTTTCTACATCTACTTTATCCAGCTCATCCTGAAGGCGTTTCTTTAGTGGCCCCTCAATGGCGTCCATTATTTGATACCTTAAAAAAATGGAGTAAAAATAGGTTGAAACTTATGTCAGCTTCACATCAGCCAGATTAAACCCTGTCTCAAATCAGATTTCCGACAGTTGCACGTCTGACTCAATTGGACTATTTCTATTTTTGATTATTGATTTTTATGAGAATAAACCGGAGGATTTGAATGCTTCAAATAAAAATGAAGAAAATTACCTACAAATTTTTACCGTAACTTTTACTGAGCATTCTCTTCGTGCAGAATTATATTTTTATTTATTTTTAAGGAAATTTGTTGCAAGTTCCAAAGAACTTGCAACTGGCCATCGCCTGGGGCCTTCAGCCAAGTATTTACCTTTTATATCAGCACTAGTCAGCACTAATTTATAACACATAGAGTTCTTTCGGCATTTGAAAAAAAAAATCATAAATTCCCGACTCAGTACATCAATCCTGGCCGAAATCGAGGGGCCATTCATTTCAGGGGAAATCATTGTGTCACTCAGGACTGAAATCGTATGAAATCAGTCGGAATCAAGTGAAATCAGTGAAAACCTGGGATTTCATCAATTCCAGGTGATTTCCATTGAAATCACTTGCAATCGGTGAAATCTCATGAAATCATGAAATTAGCAACTCATGAGACCCTTTCGAATACATAAAAGAGAAAGAAACTTTTTCGACTTATTTGTGGTGTATTCTACTACGTATGCCCAATTACGTGTATTATTTTTCACACAGAAAAAAAACAAATCTGTGAAAAAAAAACGTATTTTCTTGAACACCCTCCTAAAATCCTCAGAGAGTACCGAAACATCGTGCTACCGACAGAGACACTGTCTGCGGGAGAAGACAAAAAATCAAAACAAAAATACAACATCAACAATCGATATTTGCTGAGAATCTCCCATACGATGTTGGATGTTTTGACTGTGGCAGAAATAGATATTTAATTCACTGTGACGTGTGACTTTTCTGTGACGAAAAGTTCACGTTTCGTCACAGCGTGATGAAAATATACATTTGATTCTCATGGCATCACCTTGATGGTTTCATCCCTACCTTTACCCCCCTTGTAACTCTCATGCTTGAGCCTTCTTAAATTAATATGATGCATTTCCTTCCCTCCGGGTTCAATCCCCCTTCCCTCCTACTCCATTCCCCCTCCGCCGCGCAATAGATGAAATCGAAAATTTGAAATCACTCGAAATCGTCTGAAATCTCGAAATCACAAAAAATCCCAGGCAATCGCATGAAATCAAAGATTGCATGAAATCATGGAAATCTCCATGAAATCATGTGAAATCAGCAATCACTGTGTCATCGGATTTCCAAATGAATGGCCCCTCGGCCTAAATATTCCCCAATTTGTTCGCTACACTGCACCGAGGAACTCTCCCAAAACATTCCCCAAAATAGAATCGGATTTACGTGACTCAATATGTTGTGAATAATGTGACAAAAAAATGGATACATAAAATGTTTACCTCAATAAATTTGGTAGTACGTTTATCCCGGCTTCCATAAGATAATCCAGCGTTCCCGCACCGTGTATCCTTGCTTGAATATTGCCAAGCTCAAGATTAAGCTCCTCGAGGGAAGCACGTTTCCTGGTATCCAGCGGCTGACTCAATTTCACTTGAACACGAAAATACTGAACCGTGAACGAGACGGTTCCGGCTCTAGATAGAAAGCCACCGATCACACTAACTTCCCAGTGGGTCCTGCCCTCAATCTCTTGAGTACCAACGTCCACTACAGCGTAAACCTGCATATTTTTTGGTATTAAAATTGTATTAGTATTGAGTTACCTCGTCAGTTATCGTTAATGGAAAAATTAACAAAAATGTTCGGAGAATATCGGGGAGAAGTTAATTCGATAATTTCGGAAAGTGGATAACAATATTTTCATACTTCGAACTAGGTGGATATACCATGAAAATCGATAGTATATTCCCCCAGTGCATCCATAAAACTATTTTACTTTGAATGAATGCACGGAAAAAAGTTGAGGAAAAATTATTCAGAAAATTAAGTAATTGGGGAGACAAAAAATGAGAGACGAACGAGTAATTTTCATCGCTTGTTCCAAAAAATTTAGAGATTGTCAAGAAATTCATTCTGAAGTGGTAAAATTCAACTGGAATTTCATCGAAAATTACATCGGTGAAAGTAAATTACTGCACGTCTAGGAATTTTGTTGTTACTGTAATTTTTGCTTCACATGTATCATTTTTTCACTGAACAAATCGGACAATATGCTCCACTTGAAGGGTTTTTTATCGAATTACATTTCACTGTCCTACGCAGAACACGTCTAGAAAACTTTGTCAAAAAAACCTGGTTAAATTCAACTTGGGAAAGTGAACTTTTGGTTAATTGAACTTTTGTCAAATTGAACATCCGTCAGTAAAACCTTTCGGTTATCTTGTTTTTGGTAAGAATATAGGTAAAATCTGGGTTTGTATATGGAATTTCAGAGTGTTGTTGTCCATTTTGTTTAGTTCCTTGGGAAAGGAATAATCGATATTCCTCATTTATTTCATTGACATGGTATTCAGGTTCGAATTGTTTTTTTTCCCATTTTTTTTTGTTACCAACTTGTATTGACGAATTTTTTCAACGGAAAGTTTTTTAGACATGGACCCGTTCCACGACTACCTATCAGACAGCAAAGGCCGCTGACATTTTTTCAGATATAATTTTCAAAAAGAGATAATTTTCCAATTTTCTCTCTTTATGTAAAAGAAGAAAAAAGAACGTTTCTTCAAAAAGAAAAATCCAGGAACTGAAAAAACTATATTTACTAGAATCAAATCATTATGAAATGGACTACTGTAAAGACAGATGATGAGGTTGAGAGAAATGTCAATTTTTCAAAATAATAAATCATTTGAGCCACTCATTTCACGACTATTATTCTGTACCACTAAATTGGCTTCTCGGATTTTTCCAATAAATTGTAGCTTATCCGACGTTCTGTTTCTTGTATCATGAACTTTGTTACTTGTCTTCAGAACATATTGAGCAAACAATCTAGAAAAATTGCTGAAATTCTATGAATTTTCCACGCTTACAGTTAAACATAAAATTCTCCATAATCCTCCTCTTTTAGGGTTAGCATTTACAAATCCATTCACCTCTGAAGTTCTTAAGATCAACTTAATGCGCCCACAATTTTTTATTTCGTCATAAATTTTCAATTGGTAGGAAGACATGAAAATAAGAGGATTCGGGGAAAAATGCCGAGTTAATAAAAGACTTGTAAACGAAAAAAAAAAAAACAAGCGAGAAAATCGCCTCTCGAGATAAAAAACATTTACCGTGCCATTTTCCATTGTGAGGGTAATATTGCCCATGCGATAAAAACTTGCAAGTCCAGTGAGCCAAGTATGGGTGGACGTGACAGTGAAAATTCCCCCGCTCTGTGAATAATCCTTAATCCTGTATGGATCGTATCCCATATCGGATACTTGTTTCCTTGCTTCGGCAACTGCCATATCGAAGGGTGAAATTGAGTTCGGAAAATACTGAGGTAACTGGGATATTTGCTTGTTTACTTCTCCCCTGGAAATTTTCAGAGATTAATGTGGATTAGTGTTAATCCTTCGTATTGATTCACAAATTTAAATAAATTAGTGAACTTGCAGAGAATTCTTTCATTTCCCCTCAATTAGACTTGGCTGTCTGTAAATTAAGCTACGAAATTTGCTGGGTTAACAGGTTTTGCATTCCATTTAATTACATTTCGTTCTACGATTACGTTTCGTACAGTAAACTTTGCCACGATTTTCTCCACTGATAGAAAAAATTATTTGTATTGAGATGTTCCTTTCTTGGAGCAAGTATCACACGCTTGAACCAATTTCAAATAAATAAGATCTTAGTGTGAATACATATTCTTTCTTCTTGAGATACATTTACTTGAATCAAATCAAACAGTCCTTGGTGTCAAGTCACATGTATTCACCACAAATATGGAAAAGTTCAATTTTTTTAACCTAATATAATCTCCAGTCGAGAAATTTTCTACTTTCATGAATTGATCAAAAATTCGTACCTAGGAGATGATTGCATTGAGGAATGAATTCAAGGTTATTTTCTCGAATGAAGCCGATGTTTAAATTGAGCTTTCCGTACATCACATTGAACGAAATTTGTGATATCCAAGTTTGTGTTGAATTGCCGTAATCTGGACAAGTGACAATGAATTTTCACTTAGGGGAAAAAATCATGAAACTTCAGGTTTCACTGAAAATTCAGTAAAATTCCAGAATTTCGAGCAACATAAAGACGAGAATTCCTTAATTTATTTGAATTTCCAATCTAATATGAATATTCAGTACCAAATTACATTGAATTTTCAGTGAAATCTGAAATTTCATCATTTTTTTCCCCTAAATCGCAGTCAGTGTCATTTTCAGGGAAAAATGGAACAGAATTTTTTTTTTATTTTTTTTTTTTTATGCTTATTTCATATCGCTTCGAGTCTGATGAGACTATATGGCAATTGATCAAGACTTTAAAAATGGTTAGATCTCACCATTCTACCCGGCCAGGAATCGAACCTGGAACCTATCCGTTGTGAGGCAACGGCCTTAACCACTACGCCAGGCCACCGGGGGAACAGAAATTGACAGTTCCCTTTAATTATTCCACAAAATTCTGAATTTTCAATGACGAAATTCCTTGAAATTTCGTGGTTCTTAAATTCCATAAAAATTTCCAAAAATTACCGCAAAATTTAGACTAAAATTTTCAACAGTTCGTGTTCACATAGTAACTTTTAATTTAATATTCTCTCCGTGTAACACTGATGACCTATGAATTGACACCATCGGTTCATCAAACTTGATCGATTACATTGCAAAAGATAATGACCATCAGAAAGTTCGCCCACGGACCAAACTACTGGTGGTAATCTAACGGATTCACTCTAATCCAAACAGTTACAAGTTGGATGACCCCTTCGGGCAAGTCTCTAATGGATCCCTTCTGGGTTACAAAACAACTCAATAGAAACTTGAAATAGATGCACATGTATCAGCCACCAAATGAACTCGCCTGATGGGAGTGATCGGTAATGGTTGTAATAGGCTTACTTCACATTTGTGTTGACCTCCTTGAGGATGAAGGGCTTGATGCTATCAAACAAAAATGAGCCCAGAGAATTAACGAAACTTTGGAAGAGATATGCTATCCCATCGAGATTGGTGAAGTCCATGTCAATAGTTCCAAACGTCAGGTCCATGTCAATGTCCTCAGCGTATAGTTTGCCGTCAATTCCAACTTGTAGCTTTGCCAAGCCCTGGATGACCACGTCCTTCAGGATCACTGTGAAATTACCGTCCGACGCTGACCACAGGTATTGTGCATTGTAAAGTCCACGGATGTGGAGAATGTCAATTGTTAGTTCGACGGAAACCTGTTGGAATGAAATATTACATGGAATATGTGATTACACGAAGAAAAATATTCAGTAAAAATTACGGAACAATTGACGTTATCTGCAATGAGGAATCGTTTTCCGGCGATGTTTATAGGAATGGAGGAGAAGAAATCTGAAACGTTCAGTGAATTTTCAATGAAGTAAAATCTTACAGAAACTTGCCGACTTATTATTCCTCCAAAATCAAAAATTCTTGAACGTTCAACAATTTTTATGAAGATCGTGAGTTATTTCTACGTTCCGTTCCGTAAAATTTCTCAATCGTTGGGGAAAAATTACAGAACGACTTGTTGGTTAATTTTTACGGAACAAATCGTAGAATCTACGTGGCGATTCGTACACTTTCAGTTTCGACTCACAATTTTTATTGAATTTTACATCGCTCGCGGATTACGTTTCGTAATTTTTCTTTTTTTTTCTGGGAATTTTTATTGAATTTTTCTTTCCGTGTACACGTGCGGGAAATTACGGATGAAAAATTTAATAGAAAAACTTGGCGAATTCGCTAGACAATTCTATTGGATTTCTATTGAACTTATTCTATTGCGATATTTCCGGTAGAATTTCATCGGCCCAAATTTTCCAAGTTTTTTCATTCTATTTTTTTTTGATCCAGAAAATCAAGGAAAAAACTTGGAAAATTTGAACCGAGGAAATTTTAGAGAAATTATCACAATGGAGAAAGTTGTACAAAAAATCGAATTCTGTTGACTTTTTCTGTAGAATATTTTAAATAATTCAATAGAAATCCAATAGATGTTTTTAATTGTCTAGTGAATTCGCTAGGTTTTTCTACTGAAATTTTTCATACATGATTCCAGAGCGCATAGAATTTGAAATAAATTTTAATTGGTACACTGTTAGAAATTTTTTGAAATTTCATGGAAGATATGGTAAATCTCATGAGAGCGACATTGAATCGGATTTAGGGAAAAATGGTTATGAAATTTCAAGTTTTAAGTACCATTCACGAAAATTTCACAACCTGATTGAATTTTCCTGATTGAAAAATCGAGTATTGTATTGATTTCAAGATCATTTAAACAGAAAATCAATGGAATATTTGATTTTTCAATAACAAGATTTCCTAAAATTTCAGTGGAACTTGAACACGATAAAAATTTCCGGAAATTGACACGGAAAATTCAGACGAAAATTTTGAACAGGATAGTGACTATGAATAAAAACATTCAAGTGAAATTTATGCTCAATCAACAGTTCAATATTATTGATAATAGAATCTCCTAAGAAAATGACCTTTAGAGTCTAATGATAAAATCACCTGTTTAAAGTCAAGAATATTAAAATTGAGAAAAAAATCGTGAAGAATGAGAAATAATAAACAGAAATCTTCTGCTTAATACAAAAATTATCGACAATTTTTTTCAATTTTTCATGATCTCTTTGACGTATCGTAAAACGGATGCTTAATTTTCCGTTTTAGACTCTATCGAATATTTAAAAAAAATTATGTCAATCGGATGAAAACTGTGGAATACGCCCTTTTCAGTTAATGTATGGGGCAAAATCGATTGGGATCATCATTTTCCCACTTCAACATATCAGAAGATTTTCAAATTACACCGAAGTCCCCCCTTAATTATGCTGATTCAATTATAAACGATATCCTTCTGGAGCATCCCTCCTCAAAAGCGAAGACTACACTGAATTCTCACGAGATAATTGGAGAATGTTAATAATGCATGAGCTGAGATTGAACAATTACAATTTCACGCGACAGCTACAGACCATTTAGCACCGCCAGCACTGTCTCTGCATCTTTCAAAAGCTTTTAGATGAATTAATTCGTAATGGGCTTTCCCCTAATTCTGAAATGGTGACGAAGACAAAATATAGCGGAACAGCATTGGGAGACGTCTTGCTCTCTTGTTTTCAAAGCCATTTAGTCACGCATATAGATGCGCAGTGCATATGTTTGTCCACGCAGTTACAGTGGAAACTACGACAGGATTTTAGCACTTATCAGCCACACTGAGAGAAAAAAATTATTTTATCGAGAGAATTTTATTTGAACCAACGATCATTCGGTTTTTAATTTTCAACTAAACATGATTTCATAGTGAATACCAGTTATCTCTTCTTGAGATACATTTGATTGGGAGAAATCGAACTTCTCTAGAATTGAAGTTCCTTTTATTTGTCGCAGTAATGAGAGTATTTGATTTCTTTTTAGCCAAAAGTTCGCCAACTCCAGAAATTCGTTGGTTTACTCAAATATCAAAATTATTCTCATGACTAAATACGTTGTTATCTCATCCAACACGATCACACGTTGTTCCAAGTAAATTATAATTCAAGTGAGCATTTCGTATGTCGAATCAGGATGAATATTGTTACGCTGAAAAAGCTTTGAGACTTCAGGGGTCTAGGAGTCTCCCCTGGTTCAAAACCATCTTTAGAGATCCTAGCACGCCATTTCTCGACCCGCTCTTTCATTTGAGCCCAAAAAAACATTCATATCTTGTCTG